ACAGCAGGTACTTGGAATGAGAACAAGGATTTCATCCACGTAGTCCTGCTGCTGAATTATGTGGATAAACAGTGATCCTGATGTAGCCAGCCCCCAGCAGGACACACAGCTGTTGGGATACACAGACCCAGTTTAGCACAAGCAAACTAAATTCCCAAACAGGAAAGCCCATGTCCAACTTTGATGAAATTTGACAAAGAGCTCAGACCAAGTTTCAGGTCATAATTCTATTTAGGTCGTGGATGAACTGGATCCAGGCCAAAACCTTTTTCTTTAGTCTCTTCCGGACTCCAGTCTGAGCAATGTTTCTTATTTCCAAACCCTGTTTTTGCTAAAATACTCCATTAGATCTATGACCAACCCTACTCAGCTCAGGCTGGATATTTTGGTGAACACAAGATCATTATTGAAACAACAAGGAACTTCAACAGTACATTCTCCAGGCTGCTTTTGGTCACTGAGACTCCCTCCCTTGGATCCTGCACATGGAATTACCTGTCCTTGGGACAGACAGGGTGAGAGAGGGGAGATTTTTGGGTTAATGGGATACTGTTCTGATCAGGAATATTATGTTACAAGGCCATGCCTTTGCACACTGCCTTCTTTGGTCTGGCACTTCAGTTTACAGCTGGGGATTTCTCCTAATTAGATTGTACTTTTAATTATTTATGGCCCATATTATCTGCAGAAGCTGCCCAAAACCTAAGCCTTAATAAGGATAATCAGAATAATCATATTTTTCTCTCTTTTGTAAAGCACCTTGAGCCTTGCTGATGAGAAATGCTAGGATGTGATTAGATGCTTAATGAAAAATTATCGTAAGAAAGTGGAATAAAAATGAAAAAATAACTAAAATGGAATTTTCTATTTTATACTGCATTGGGGCTGAATTAAGAATCATTTATCAGAGGAGATTTTAACCTGAAAACTGAGTGGGGATCTTCCTTATGCATGTTATGATGGGAGAGTGCAGGTGAGGATGCCGAGGAGCAGAGTTGGGGCCTGGATGTTGAGAGAACAGCCCCCAGGAGCCGGAGATCTGGAAACGCTGGGCTATCCCACCACGAGCAGTCAGCCTTTGGCTGGTGCCAGCACCAAGAAAAACAATGGGTGTTCAACACCACCCCAGTTCCTGTACCCACCACAGCTCCTCCACACTGAAGATTTGGCTTTCCAGCCCTCACCTTCCCCAAGAATTATCCTGGAACTGAGGCAGACGGGGTTTGAGCTGCTCAGACCGTGCGGCAGAAGTCAGGGTGAAATTTATGGCCCTGCCTGACTCAGTCTGTGAATGAAATCCTCTATCTCTCAGACCGTACCAGGGATGGCCGAACCAAGGCACAGATGCAAAGCTTTCAACCCTTTCTCGATTACCACTTTTCAAATTTGCTCTCTCGTACATCAAAGCAGGAGGATTTGGAGACGTTTGTGTTGAATTCAGAGCTGGGGCAGGTGGGGGTGAGCCCCTGCGGGCGGCTGGGGCCGGCGGGAGGAGAAGGGCAGAGCCGGGACCATCTCTGGAGGCTGGGACAGAGGCTGCGAGTAACAAAAAATCCCCGGCACCACCTGCACCTGACAATGGAGCCGGAGAGAGACCGGACAGAGGAGCAGGGAAGGCTCCCCCACACCCTCAGCAGCCCCCGCCGCCTCCCCACGCCCAACCTCCCCCAGAGCCCCCGAACCGCGCGGGGCTGAGCCCCAGGACCGCCCCACACCGCCCGGGCGAGGAGAAGGAGATCCCCGTGAGGACAGCGGGAACACCCGGCTGCCCTGCCCCGC